ATGAGAAGTTTTGTCTCCATCAGGCAAAGTTAAACTCAAACTGACACCCTCAGCTGAAAATAAACCTTCTATATTGTCTTTTTTTAATGCCTCAAACTGCTGTAAGGAGGAGGGTTTCAGACCAGACTTGAAGAAGCAGCTTGTCTTTGCACAACAAATGACACATTTGACTTGTAAAAGAAAGCAGTACGAGCTGTTTCATCAAAAATCAGCACAAACCTGAAATGTCTTGCAGCAGCTTTAACCTACCAAAAAACAAAACCAAAACTGCAATTTTTCTCAACAGTTTTTAACCGCTCTCATTATTAAAAAAACTAAGAAAATATGGCAACAATATATGAACTTTAGGAGCCTAGTAAATGTAAATTGGTGCTATCAACAGCTAGAATTCACACTTAAAGGGCAAACTCACTCAGAATGACCCAGAATTTGCCCATCCCTTTCCCTGGCATGCTAAATCTTAAGGTTAAAACATTACAGGTGTGACATTTAAGTGCAAAGACATCCATAAGTTTTGCAGCTTCATGCAGTTTCTGCTTGTTTTTGCATCAGATGGTAGAAATGAGTCGTCAACATGTCCACTCTGTGCTGCACTGAGGGAGCTTGAATCTGTAAGTTTATAAAGATATTTAGGTTTTGTCGATACTGTGAAAAGTTATTCTTTTATAATAAACCTAAAAAGATAAATTATACCTGTGAAAACTTGAGTCAATTTCAATACATTTCCCCGTACAGTAATGACAGTCAGTCCAGAAATTCTGTTCAGCAGTTCAACAAACATATATATATATATATATGTATATATATATATATATATATATATATATATATATATATATATATATATATATATGTATATATATGTATACACACAGGCATGGGAAAGTATGCAACTATTTTTTTAATCATTTAGACTTCAAAAATATGTCATAAGAGTCCAGGTTTGAAAATATTGGAATCACCCTTTAATGGGACACCTTCCCTCTTACCTTTATGATGCTTATGTTAAAATTACTGTTCGAAGGCCTTAATCACAAACTATAATTATCCGCATTAAAAATCCTATTCCAACAGAGCAGCGATTTGACTGGTCATCTGTTATCCTGTGATTGGTCAGTGGTCTGGTTAATCCCTATGTCACAGGTTAAACACATTTATTATGCAGCTCTGGCTGTGCAGGTGGGTGGGCAAAGATTGAGCCGGCGTGCTGCTTCTTCTGCCAGATTGCCATCCTGACTGCATGCTGCGCCTCCCCCACCCGCCTCCGATTGGAAATGAATGATTACCAGGCGGCTGTCATGTCTGTCTAAAAAGCCCTTAAAGCTACAATCTGCTTGGTTCTGGAGTCTGCTGGGTGCAAATCTGTTTTGTCTGCTGGATGGGTGAAGCTCTGAGGGGGCTCGCCCATCAACGCAGCTCATCCCCAAAGAGCCGCCACACCAGAAAAGTTAGTCATACCAGCCTGTGACAGGATAAATAGCTGCTCCAAAGTGCAATGTACAAAAGTCACAACTTTACTGTGACCATGGCAACCAAGTTAAGAGAACACAGCGGGATGTGCTGTCAAAATGTGGACGTGAAGAGGACAGGCTAAAAGCCGGAGAGGAGGAATAATGCAGCTGAGGACTTCTTTCATTCCACAACCAGAGTGTGTGTGTGTGTGTGTGTGGGCTGAAGAACACACCCACACACATTTACACGCACAAACACACTCCTCATGACCTGAATTTCACCCCTAGTTGAAATAGTCCCCACTGCAAATTTATTCCCTCTGTGACACATCCATATGTGCCGACTGATGTGACACATATCAGCAGTTTAAAAAGTTACCATACAACTTTTTTTCTCCTCATTTGCAAACTCACATTTTGGTGCTGCTTCTCTTCCCTGTAAATTCCTCTATCATTTTGAGACTCTTTTTTTTTTTTCATTTTTAACTACCAGTCCAGCTCTGCCATGTCAGGGTTAGCCAGGTCAAAAGGTCACTAGGGTACGAGTTAGCGAAATCATCATGGACAAAAGTTTATAAAAACATCCTTATCTAAAGAACTCTTTTGATGTCTGGAATTGTGTTGAAAATGCAACTATATTCCCGACACACATTTTGGGAGAGCATCGCTTCGGGACAGGCACTATGAAATTGACATTAATGAGAACGGAGCTGGGGGAGGGAGATGGTGCCTCTAAACTTTCCCTGACTCCCTCTTTAGGATGCAGCTCCAAACTGACTGTTCTGGTTTATAGAAGCAATTGCTTTTAAGCAGAAAACTGTTGACCTGTTAGGTAACGTGGTAAGATTGACCGCAGTCTTTCACAACCTTTTGCAGACAAATGGAGCTGATGTTCAGTCTCGCAAACAATCTGGTACAGAGTGAGATATCTTATAGCTACACCCAAGGGTTTCATCGAGTTTAAGTTGCTATTTACAACCATGTATTTCTTAGAGACCCTCTGCCACACATTTCTCTGCCACACATTTCTACACTCACAATTCTGGATACTGTGATCCAGAACACACAAAAATAAGGGTGTCGTTGGAATTTTCAATGCTAAATGATAAGCAATGGGCGGCTCACGCAGTCTCTCACAGCGTGGTGAACCTCTCTGAACCTTTTTCCTTTTGAGAGACTCAGCCTCTATTACCCAGCTGTGTTACTAACCTGTTGTTACTTACCTTTTTAGGTGTTTTGTTTCAGTATCACACTGTTTTTTGCTATTCTTTTTTTGTCTCTTGCTCCAATTTTTAAGTATGTCACTGTCACTTTTTGAATATTTTATTAATCATTTTTTGAATGAGTTTTAGCTTTAAATGATAATCAAATCATCTCAAAAATATGTAAATGTTCTTTATTCATACAGCCCTTTACATCAACCCTTTCAGTGAACCAATGTGCTTTAAAATACATAGAAAATAAAAACAATAAAAAGCAGTAAAAGCAATTAAAAAAAGAATAAAATACAATGCAATAAAATAAAGTGTCACCATGCCAATGCGTGTTAAAAGCCAGCATAAATAAGTAAGTTTTCAATCAGGATTTGAAAAGGCCCAGGTCAGAAATAAGTCTCATTTTGGTGGGGGGCTTATTCCAGAGCCTGGGACCAGCAAGTGAAAAGGTTCGATCAACCCAGTGCATATGTTTTGACACCTCCAGCAGAAGTTGATTTAACGACCTCAGAGCTCTACCCGGCTCCGGAATGGTTAAAAGCTCAGTTCAATAGATTTGATATTTTTGTTGAGATTTTACCCAGCCTCCCTATACCTTTTTCAATTTATTCAATTATATGAATTCATCTTGCAAATCTATTTTTTTAGCAGAATTTACTGGGTGATACATTTTTATCCAAAAAATTCAGTACAGACAATTTTCAACCAACATGTTACATACTAAGTTACATCTAAACCATGATAATAATAATAAAAAAAAAACACATCCTAAACCAAACATCTGTATTATACATGTACATGCATATACAAAATTAAATCTTGCATGCTGGTCAAATCTTCTTCACAACAGTGTTGAGCTGTTTACCATCCAAGTACAATCACTCTGGGTTGTCTGCATCTGCTCAAAGTTTTCATGAGTAAATGAAATGTTTTATTTCTTTGTCTAAATTCAATAGAGCTCGTGAGACTAAACGGACCTTCACAGAGGGCTTCGCTGCTCCTCAGGGTTCTGCAGAACTGCCATCTGAAAATAAAAAGAAAAGATTGACATGTTTGATGCAAAACCAAGCCTTTAAATTGATCTTTGGTGCCGAGAAATCTCCTGAAAAGTGGCTAGAAAATAAGTGCACGTTAATATCATCCTATTCTTACTCACAAGTCTTCAATGATGACAATTTGGACAGAGACGGTGGTTTAAAATCTAGTAGAGTGTTAGTTCAGCTCAAAGTGCATCAGTTGATCTTATCAAATCCTATTGATTTGTTGACCAGAACTTCCTTGGTAATACGACAAGAATTATAAATGTACTAAAAACGAAAAACCAGAAGACCCAGATCACTAAGTATAGCTCTTGTATTAGTTGAATGATATTCATTATGTCTTCAGTTTCTTAGAATTAGTTTTCTTTTTTCCCTATATCTCAGACATATGTTTTTCACATAACTTGACGTGTTTCGGCCTTCCTCAGAAGTGTCCACCAAGTGACACTTAAAAACATTTAAAACAGTTAAAACATCAATTTATTTTATGGCCCAATATCTTTCACCTCTAGAGTTTCTTCAGGTTCCTTTGGCTCAGTGGGGCTAAATGTGGTCTTTTTCCTGAAATAAGAAGAGAAAATAGTTCAATTAAAAAAGGCCAAATGAGTATAAAGAGTCAAGCAACAAAGTTGGTTGAATTCAGTATTTCTACCTCATCCACAGAGAAAAAAGAAGAACAGGAATCAGGATCACAACCATTACAGCCAACCTGACGACATGTATTATCAGTGTTGATTTGTCTGGAAACAGAGATAGAGTCATTAGAAACACCTTATTCTGATCTATATCACAGCTATCTGTCAAATAATCCCCCTGTGGTTACAGCTGACTCTATGTTCACACAAACTGAAACACTTTTTTGGAACAAATAGTTCCATACAAGTCTAAATATCTCTTGATCTATTGGTCAATTTCAGCTCCAGTCAGGACAAAGTTGAAAACTCACATTTCACATCAACGATGAAGAGCTTGGATGTCTTCTTTCCGAGACCGTTCTCAGCTACACAGTAATACTCCCCAGAGTCAGAGGCCTGGATGGAGCTCAAGACAAGCTGTGCTTCATGACTGAGAGGTTGAAGGTCCGGTTCTCCATCCTTCTTGAACCAGGTGTAGTTAGCAGCCGGGTTAGCGTCACAGCTGCAGGTCAGCGTCACTGAGGTATTCTCCAGTGTCACACCAGCTGAGTTTCTCAGCACTGAAAGAACCTTTGGAGCATCTGAGGAAGAAACGATCGTGCTTTACGCAAAGATTTGGGGTAATTTCACTTATGAGAATGTGGTCTGACAAATTGAAATTCAACATTCTCTTTGGAATTTCTTCTCCTGACATTGTGGTGTAAACTCACAGACTGGTGGAGAGGGAAACTGTTCGTGTCCTTTTAGAGCACAAGAGATTTCATCCTCAGGAGGAAACCAGCCCTTAAAGACAGATGTCTCTCCCCAGGACAAGTCTGTCTCTCTGTTCCTGAACCAGGTGTAGGAGACATGATCGGCTGGGCTGCAGCTGCTGAGACACCTCAGCACTACAAAGGTCGAGGACTGGTTGGTAATTTTCTCAATCATTTGCACCTGTAAAGCTGGGAATAAAAACACAGTCCAATTATTTAGCAGTTTGGATGATACATGTGCATCTCAAATGGCCTATTTCAAATGATTGGTATATTAGAAATGTCCAAATTCTAAGATTTCTTTACTTAAAACTCAGTAATAGGTTAGGGCTCTGTTACATAAAGACTTTGGAGTCATTGTTGTTTGGCATGGAGACTATAAGCCTTTAACTCTTCTGAATCGTTAGTAAAGCCCAGGTTACTTGAATAGAGGCCTTCAGTTGTATGTCATTTTGACTTGGACGTTTCTCTTCTTCTTAACAAAATTCCCACCGGTTCTCCATGAGGTTAAGGTCAGGCCAGTTGGCTAACCAGTAATGCTCTGTGGACTGTTCAGCCAAAGTTTTGGTGCTGTGGGCAGGTGCTAAGTCCTGCAAGAGTTCGGCTCTATTTCATCTTAGCCCAGGTCGAACTCTTTTGGTTCAGAAATGTGAACTGTGTGGCTGCAGCCTGCAGCCAATTTAACCCAATATCATGAGTCAAATTAATTTGAAAATTGGGTTAACTTGACCCTTAGAAAGGGTTATTGAGTCAACCCTAAATTTGGGTTAGTTTGAATAACCCAACATTCTGGGTCAATATAAGCCAATAAGAAGTTGGTCCCTTTTCAACCCTGGTGTTGGGATTTTTAGAGTGCATGTCAACATCACAACCAGGGGGTAGAAAAAATTATATTCTGTGTAATAAACTTCTAGAGTTTGTCCACAGGTCCATAGGGATTGCTGGAAGAGGCGGGATTTATGACCTATACTGCAGCCCATCAACAGAGGGTGCTGTTCTCATGGTGGCTTCACCCAGCGAGGAGGCAGACGGTGTCCATTCTATATACAGTCTACAGTTAAGAGGCTTATTTTCTCACTATCAATAACCGTCAGAAAATAATAAACGTTCTAATTCGTTGAAATAAACATGTAAATTCAGCAATTAAAGTCCAATAACACAGTCATGATGGCTAAACCTAATCAATATTTGTGTTATTGTACTGTTGTGCGTCTTCGGTCTTATTCCATACCTGTGACAGTCAGAGTTGTAGCAGGCAGGCTGCTATTCCATTCAAAACTCTGTGTTTTGAATTTGAAATGATATTCTGCAGAGTCGCTCTCTCCCAGGTTGGTGATTCTTAAAGTTGAATGTCCTTTCTCTGTTTCAAAGACCTGAATACGATCTGATTGATGGTAGTCTTCACTTAGGTCCTCAGGTGGTATGGAGTATTTCCAATGGTGACTATATTTTGGACTGAACCAGAATTTGGAGGTGATATTACTGTAACTGTTGAAGCTACAAGAAATATTCACCGATGAGCCTTTGGGTGCACAGATTCTTCTGTCAGTGTACGACACTCTGTTGCAAAAAGAAGCAGATTCACCTGGAAGACAGAGAAAATACACAAATGCAAGTTTTAAAATCAGAGTTATGCTGGAATCACAACTGTGGCCACATATAAAAAAATCTCTCTGATTTTATGGTATGATTATGGAGTCAACTCACAGAATAAAGGAGAGGGGAATTCCTTGAATCCTTCAAAAGCACAGGAATAGCTGTCTGCAGCATCCAAGTTGAATGGTTGGAACATAATATCAGAATAAAATTGATAATAAGATGTTCCCTTCTGAATTTCCTCTCCATTTTTGTACCAGATGATGGGATATTTTTTGTTAAGGTAACAACTGCTACGACACCTAAGGTACAGTGGGCCTGAATGAAAAACGGGAGAGAGGTATAACTGCATATCTGGACCTATAAGACAAAAAAAATTAAGTTTATCTTACACAACAATGTCGGCATACATATGCAAATACATTTTAACACCCATCAGTTTTTTTGGGGGGGATGTTATGACATAATTACCTTGTTTGACGGACAAAGAGACTCCAGGATCACTGGTGTAAATCCCACCTGGTTGGTCCGTCTCGACTCTAAAGTAGTACACACCTGAGTCGCTCTCTCTCAGGTCTCTGATTTGCAAAAAACCACTTTCAGAATCACCACCTAGGTCCACACGATCTGAAAACTGTGGGTCTTCCCCAACATACACCGGTTCCCCATTCTGGTTTTTCGTAAACCATTTCATAGATTTAACTGAATTCGGGATGCCATTGATTGCTCTTGGATACCTGTAAGAGCAGTCCAACCTCACTGATGATCCTTTAAACCCACAGACTTCAGCAGAGAGGCAATTCACTGCCCTCAATTTCTGATCCGGACTCACTATAACATAGAGAGCGTTAGGAGACAATATAAGACATTAAAAAACATGAGGAAAAGTAAGTTATTATAGGAGGCCCTTCATGCAGTTACTGTAGGATACAGAAAACTCTGTTGTTTATACTGCTGTTCATAGTCACACACAATAAGTCCCTAATGTCTTCAGGTCAAAAAAACACCCCTGGATTGGCACGCTGGACAGACACTCAGGGCTCTATTTTCGTGCCTTGCCGGTGGCATGGTGCAGGCGCAGCGTAAGTCAGGTCTGCTGCGCCGATAAGGCGTGTCCAAGCACGTTTTGGTATTTTGGTGAGCGGCGCAGCCCGGCGTAAGTATCCCCCCTCCCTAACTCAGCTCCTCCCAGCAGTGTAAGTCATAGAGAGGACGGAGATAAGGTGTGGAGTAGGTTTAACACAGCTGAGACCTGTTTTCGCCAATCACATCAGCTCCTCTCCACACCTTTAAATCCGCCACCGGTGAGGCGTATTCCAATTTTCGTGAAGTAGTCAAAGAGATCAAGAGATGGCTGAAGACAGCAATGCCGCACAATGGCAACAAAAAGCAGCTCCCCAACAAGTGTCACTGTAAGGGCTGCGGAGGGCGTCCTCCACATTCTCTCAAATAAGCACAGAGGGATTTGGTGTGTGTAAGTTTGCAAGATTTTCAATAGAAAAAACTCAGCTGTGCAGATGACTTCTTTTTAGGGGAGGTTTAAGATATGGGTCAATGGTTTGAGTTCTGGTTGATTGACAATAAAGAAACACACTTGTAGCTATAATTCATGTTCTAGCAAATGACCGACTGTCTCCAGACAATGTTGCAGCATACTTTGGTTTGTTCAGTTTGTCATGTTCAGGGAGTGTCTTCAGACATGATGCTGTGATATGAACTTCAGATTACATCTGTATCTCTGAGGTCCATCTCTGTTACCAACATAGCAACAACTGGTGTTATGATGAGTTTTGCTACCTTGTTAAAGAATGCTAGAGACCTTAATCGTCAAGATCTGAATTTAGTTTACATTAAATCTGGAGAGTTGTTGTGTATTCCTGTCAGATCATCAGCCTACATCCTTGTTATCTAACTGAGCAGACACTGACGGATGCTTCATTTTTCTAATCTGTCATTTTTTCCCCCTCCTACTTTATCCAAATGGCAATCCGTTCTGATCGCGACAATATCCGATCTCGTCTTTTATATAAGCTAGAAAATCATCCAATGACACAAAATAGATGAAAGTAGGTGGTGAGAATTTGTAGCAGCACAGTTTTTGCCAATAAATAATTTGTTTTTAAAGGGAAAACAAACAGTGAAGTTACTGGTCTTCTGGCAAATAGAGCCAACTATTTTGTCTCGTTAGTATTCGTCAGAGCATTCATGAACAGGATTTTCGCCACAATTTCAGGAAAGATTAGTATGTCAATGAAAACTTATCATCACCGTCTCTACTGACAAAATTAACTCTGGTGTTCTAAATGTTAGCGGTTCCTTACCTTCTACTGAGAGAAGCAGGAGAAGAAATTCAGTCAGTGTTGCTGTTAAACTCATAGCTGCCTCTCAGTTGACTGGCTCTCATGTCTCTGCTCAACCAACAGGGAGGTCACCCTCAGAAATACCATGGGTCTCCTAGTAACAATCAACATGAACGTCTTAAAAGCAGGAAGTGGCATTTATATCTGTTTTTTTTTTTTTTTGAATTTTAAGACTCAGCGTTGAAATACTCAGCTTATTTCCTTGGTGAAGGGTTACAGATAGTAGAGATGTATTTTGTAAATAATAAACCGGAAAATAAGGGTTTTACTGACCCCATTGTTGTTACTACCAGGAGACATTACTTTTAGTTTGGAAAATGGCAGTAAAGATTTAACTCCAGATGATGAAAAGGATCCAAATTGATGCAAAAGTGATTTCTTTTGCTAACTATCTTATTTATCTACTTACTTCCTGTCGCCTGCTCACTTGGTCATTCTGCAAACCATACATTTCCTGTTTGTTTATTCTCATCAGCAGGTTTATGTAGTGGTTGGGTAAGCTTGTAGACCTGTGCATTATACTAGTATATACTAGTATTAAAAAAGCCAATTCCATTGAAGTTGGGAAATTGTGATAAACATAAATAAAAACAGAATACAATGATTTGCAAATCCTTTTCAACCTATATTCAATTGAATTCACTACAAAGACAAGATACTGTCTCCAGTGACAGATGATGTTTCCAGACAGTGGTTTTGAGCCTGTGCAGTAATTTCCACTCCACTGTCATGTCTGTTATTAATGCAGAGCTGCCTGAGGGCCTGAAGACCAGGGCCATACAGTATTGGTATTGGTTGTTGTCCCTTTTGTGCAGAGCTTTATCTGGATTCTCTAAATCTTTAAATGATATCATGAACTCTAGATGAAGAAATCCAATCATACTTTGACATTTTACACTCAGGAACAACATTCTAAAATTGTTGAACTATTTGCTCACGCAGTCTCTCACAGAGTGGTGAACCTCCTTTTGAGATACTCAGCCTCTATTACCCAGCTGTGTTACTAACCTGTTGTAAATGAACCTTTCAAGGTATTTTATTTTAGTATCACACTGTTTTTTACTGGTTTTTTTTTTGTCTCTTGCTCCAATTTTTTAAGCATGTGGCTATCACTTTTTGAATATTTTATTAATCATTTTTGGAATGAGTTTAGGCTTTAAACGATAACCAAATCATCCCAAAAATATGTAAATGTTCTTTATTCATACAGCCCTTTACATCAACCCTTTCAGTGAACCAATGTGCTTTAAAATACATAGAAAATAAAAACGAATAAATGAAAATAATAAAAAGCAATAAAAGCCATTAAAAAAAGAATAAAATAAAATGCATTAGCATAAAGTGTCACCATGCCACTGGGTATTAAAAGCCAGCATAAATAAGTAAGTTTTCAATCGGGATTTGAAAAGGCCCAGGTCAGAAATAAGTCTCATTTCGGTGGGGGGCTTATTCAAGAGCCTGGGACCAGCAACTGAAAAGGCTCGTTCAACCCAGTGCTTGTGTTTTGACTTGGGCACCTCCAGCATAAGTTGATTTGACGACCTCAAAGCTCTACCCGGCTCTGGAACGGTTAAAAGCTCATTTCAATAGATATGATATTTTTGTTGAGATTTTACCCAGCCTTCCTATACTTTTTTCAATTTATTCAATTATATGAATTCATCTTGCAAATCTATTTTTTTTTAGCAGAATTTACTGGCTGATACAATTTTATCCAACAAATTCAGTACAGAGAATTTTCAACCAACATGTTACAAACCAAGTTACATCTAAAACATGATAATAATAATAAAAAAACAGCACATCCTAAACCAAGCATCTGTATTATACATATACATGCATATACAACATTAAATCTTGTATGCTGGTCAGATCTTTTTCACAACAGTGTTGAGCTGTTTACCATCCAAGTACAATCACTCTGGATTGTTTGCATCTGCTCAAAGTCCCAACAAGTTTTCATGAGTAAATTCCCAGGAATGAAATGTTTAATTTCTTTGTCTAAATTCAATAGAGCTCGTGAGACTAAACGGACCTTCACAGAGGGATTTGCTGCTCCTCAGGGTTCTGCAGAACTGCCATCTGAAAATAAAAAGAAAAGATTGACATGTTTGATATCATCCTATTCTTACTCACAAGTCTTCAATGATGGCAATTTGGACAGAGACGGTGGTCTAAAATCCAGAGTGTTAGTTTAGCTTAAAGTGCATCAGTTGATCTTATCAAATCTTATTGATTTGTTGACCAGAACTTCCTTGGTAATACGACTAGAATTATAAATGTACTAAAAACGAAAAACCAGAAGACCATGACCACTAAGTATAGCTCTTGTATTAGTTGAATGATATTCATTATGTCTTCAGTTTCTTAGAATTAGTTTTTTTTGTCCTATATCTCAGACATATGTTTTTCACATAACTTGACGTGTTTCGGCCTTCCTCAGAAGTGTCCACCAAGTGACACTTAAAAACATTTAAAACAGTTAAAACATCAATTTATTTTATGGCCCAATATCTTTCACCTCTAGAGTTTCTTCAGGTTCCTTTGGCTCAGTGGGGCTAAATGTGGTCTTTTTCCTGAAATAAGAAGAGAAAACAGTTTAATTAAAAAAGGCTAAATGAGTATAAAGAGTCAAGCAACAAAGTTGGTTGAATTCAGTATTTCTACCTCATCCACAGAGAAAAAAGAAGAACAGGAATCAGGATCACAACCATTACAGCCAACCTGACGACATTTATTATCAGTGTTGATTTGTTTGGAAACAGAGATAAGAGTTATTAGAAACACCTTATTCTGATCTATATCACAGCTATCTGTCAAATAATCACCCTGTGGTTACAGCTGACTATATGTTCACGCAAACTGAAACACTTTTTTGGAACAAATAGTTCCATACAAGTCTAAATATCTCTTGATCTATTGGTCAATTTCAGCTCCAGTCAGGACAAAGTTGAAAACTCACATTTCACATCAACGATGAAGAGCTTGGATGTCTTCTTTCCGAGACCGTTCTCAGCTACACAGTAATACTCCCCAGAGTCAGAGGCCTGGATGGAGCTCAAGACAAGCTGTGCTTCATGACTGAGAGGTTGAAGGTCCGGTTCTCCATCCTTCTTGAACCAGGTGTAGTTAGCAGCCGGGTTAGCGTCACAGCTGCAGGTCAGCGTCACTGAGGTATTCTCCAGTGTCACACCAGATGAGTTTCTCAGCACTGAAAGAACCTTTGGAGCATCTGAGGAAGAAACGATCGTGCTTTACGCAAAGATTTGGGGTAATTTCACTTATGAGAATGTGGTCTGACAAATTGAAATTCAACATTCTCTTTGGAATTTCTTCTCCTGACATTGTGGTGTAAACTCACAGACTGGTGGAGAGGGAAACTGTTCGTGTCCTTTTAGAGCACAAGAGATTTCATCCTCAGGAGGAAACCAGCCCTTAAAGACAGATGTCTCTCCCCAGGACAAGTCTGTCTCTCTGTTCCTGAACCAGGTGTAGGAGACATGATCGGCTGGGCTGCAGCTGCTGAGACACCTCAGCACTACAAAGGTCGAGGACTGGTTGGTAATTTTCTCAATCATTTGCACCTGTAAAGCTGGGAATAAAAACACAGTCCAATTATTTACCAGTTTGGATGATACATGTGCATCTCAAATGGCCTATTTCAAATGACTGGTATATTAGAAATGTCCAAATTCTAAGATTTCTTTACTTTAAAACTCAGTGTTAGGTTAGGGCTCTGTTACATAAAGACTTTGGAGTCATTGTTGTTTGGCATGGAGACTATAAGCCTTTAACTTTTCTGAATCATTAGTAAAACCCAGGTTACTTGAATAGAGGCCTTCAGTTGTATGTCATTTTGAATTGGACGGTGGGAATTTCTCTATGAGGTTAAGGTCAGGCCAGTTGGCTGAGCAGTAATGCTCTGTGGACTGTTCTGCCAACGTTTTGGTGCTGTGGGCAGGTGCTAAGTCCTGCTAGAGTTCGGCTCTATTTCATCTTAGCCCAGGTCGAACTCTTTTGGTTCAGAAATGTGAACTGTGTGGCTGCAGCCTGCAGCCAATTTAACCCAATTTAACCCAATATCATGAGTCAAATTAACTCGAAAATTGGGTTAACTTGACCCTTAGAAAGGGTTATTGAGTCAACCCTAAATTTGGGTTAGTTTGAATAACCCAACATTCTGGGTCAATATAAGCCAATAAGAAGTTGGTCCCTTTTCAACCCTGGTGTTGGGATTTTTAGAGTGCATGTCAACATCACAACCAGGGGGTGGAAAAATTATATTCTGTGTAATAAACTTCCAGAGTTTGTCCACAGCTCCATAGGGATTGCTGGAAGAGGCAGGATTTATGACCTATACTGCAGCCCATCAACAGAGGGTGCTGTTCTAATGGTGGCTTCACCCAGCGAGGAGGCAGACGGTGTCCATTCTATATACAGTCTACAGTTAAGAGGCTTATTTTCTCACTATCAATAACCAACAGAAAATAATAAACGTTAATTTGTTGAAATAAACATGTAAATTCAGCAATTAAAGTCCAATAACACAGTCATGATGGCTAAACCTAATCAATATTTGTAGTGTTTAACTGTTGTGCGTCTTCGGTCTTATTCCATACCTGTGACAGTCAGAGTTGTAGCAGGCAGGCTGCTATTCCATTCAAAACTCTGTGTTTTGAATTTGAAATGATATTCTGCCGAGTCGCTCTCTCCCAGGTTGGTGATTCTTAAAGTGGAGTGTCCTTTCTCTGTTTCAAAGACCTGAATACGATCTGATTGATGGTAGTCTTCACTTAGGTCCTCAGGTGGTATGGAGTATTTCCAATGGTGACTATATTTTGGACTGAACCAGAATTTGGAGGTGATATTACTGTAACTGTTGAAGCTACAAGAAATATTCACCGATGAGCCTTTGGGTGCACAGATTCTTCTGTCAGTGTACGACACTCTGTTGCAAAAAGAAGCAGATTCACCTGGAAGACAGAGAAAATACACAAATGCACGTTTTAAAATCAGAGTTATGCTGGAATCACAACTGTGGCCACATATAAAAAAATCTCTCTGATTTTATGGTATGATTATGGAGTCAACTCACAGAAAAAAGGAGAGGGGAATTCTTTGAATCCTTCTAAAGCACAGGAATAGCTGTCTGCAGCATCCAAGGTGGATGGTAGAGACATATAATGAGGCTTATAAGGATTAAAATAGGTTTCCTTCTGAATATCCTCTCCATTTTTGTACCAGATGATGGAGGAACCTCTGTCAAGGAAACAACTGCTATGACACCAAAGGGACAGCTGGTCATGATATGGATTTCGGATCAGCTGTACCTGCAGATCTGGAACTATAAGAGAAAAAAAAGGAAGGTTTTTTTTACACAACAATGTCTGCAAACATATACAAATACATTTTAACACCCATAAGTTTTATTTTTTTCATTTTTTGGGGGGGATGTTATGACATAATTACCATGTTTGATGGACAAAGAGACTCCAGGATCACTGGTGTATATTCCACCTGGTTGGTCCGTCTCGACTCTAAAGTAGAACATGCCTGAGTCGGTCTCTCTCAGGTCTCTGATTTCCAAAGAACCACGTCCAGGGACACCGCTTAACCCCACACGATGTAAAAACTGTTGGTCTTCCCAGAGATACACCGGTTCCCCATTCTGTTTTTTCATAAACCATTCCATAGATTTAAATGAGTTTGGGATGCCATTGATTGTTCCTGGATAGCTGTAAGAGCAGTCCAACTGCACTGATGTTCCTTTTAACCCACAGACTTCAGCATGGAGGCAATTCACTGCCCTCAATTCCTGATCTGGAATCACTATAACACAGAGAACATTAGGAATCAATAAAAGACATTAAAATACATGAGGAGAAGGAAGTTATTATAAGAAGCCCTTCATGCAGTTACTGTTGGATACAGAAAACTCTTATTGCTGTTTTTAGTCAAAATACGGTACATTTTCAATGTCCAACCAAAACAATTGTGTCCCATCATCATCAACATATATTATTCTGAGTTTTTTCAACAGATTATGTATTTGAGGTTGTCATCGTCTAGCCTTTGGGAAAAATGGTTGTAAATGAACATTCATCATTGCAATTCAATTAGAATTATATATTTAGTTAATTTCAATTGTATATATACCTTTATGGCTCAACATTTAAAAGCTCTTATCAAATTATTGCACTAATAACTTTATTAAAATTTCTGTCTTCACCCCTCATGCTTATGTAAAGCTTCCCCTGAGTGTGATATTTAGTTTGCAGCAGATTTTGAAGTAAACTTACAGACTGGAGGAGAAGGGAAATCCTCCTCTCCTTTTAAAGCACAGGAAAAGTTGTTTGCAGATCCATAGTCCTCTGAATAATATAAAAAAGATGTTTCATCCTCAATTTCCTCTCCATTTTTGTACCAGATGTAGGAGAGGTAGTCCGATTTACGACAAAAGTTTTCACAATGCAAAAATGGCCAGGGAGACATTCCATTATCGTATACCTCAACCTGCAGATCTGAATGAATGAGAAGAAACAGGAAGGTTACTTTACAGAACTCACTTTTGCACACAAAACTATGTTACAAAACAATGATTGTTTTTACCTGTAACGATCAAAAGGACTCCAAGATCACTGGTGTATGTTCCACCTGGTTGGTTTGTCTCCACTCTGAGAAAATAAACACCTGTGTCGTTCTCTCTCAGGTCTGTGATCAACAAAATGCTGTTTCCAGGAGCATCAGTGATCAACATGCGATCTGCATACTGTGGGTCTGAACTCAATTTTACTGGTTCTTCATTTGTCCTTTTGATGAACCAGTCCATTTCCTTGATTTTGTTTGTGAAGTTGTTTCTTGTGGGCTGATACCTGAAGGAGCATTGCAGCTCCACGAATGATCCTGTAACAGCACAATCTTTAGTAGAGTTGCATTTTACGTCCATCAAATCCTGGCCCCAAATCACTGTAACACAGAGCACACCATGAACCTCGGTAAAATACACAACATCAAGTAATTGATGTTTTAGTTTGAAGGACTTCGTTCTGTTATTATCCAAAGACTCTTGAGTTTTGTTTTAGACACAGACTTTTACATTTAGACAGAACTTTTACATGTATATCTATCCAACCTTTTTTATGCAAATTATTATTTATTATTATAAGTATTTTTCTGTAAAATGTATGTCGTAAGCTGATTTTAAATCCTATATCAGGCGATGTTTCACTTTCCAAACTCTAGAAACTGGTCTACTAAGTTCACAAACATTTAGATGGTGTTGGTAAAAGAAGAATTGATGCTACGCAATGACAAATATGGGCCCAAATTATCTGAAAAGAGCTGAAGGGCTCAAATGAGCTCATATTTTCCATAGAACAATAACACATTTCAATTTAAACATATGATAAGATGTCTTTGCAAGATTTTCAATAGAAAAAACTCAGCTGTGCAGATGACTTCTTTTTAGGGGAGGTTTAAGATATGGGTCAATGGTTTGAGTCCTGGTTGATTGACAATAAAGAAACACACTTGTAGCTATAATTCATGTTCTAGCAAATGACCGACTGTCTCCAGACAATGTTGCAGCATACTTTGGTTTGTTCAGTTTGTCATGTTCAGGGAGTGTCTTCAGACATGATGCTGTGATATGAATTTAAGCTAACATCTGTATCTCTGAGGTCCATCTCTGTTAAAGTTGACAGCACTTAATGCTGAGCACCAACTGGTGTTATGATGAGTTTTGCTACCTTGTTAAAGAATGCTAGAGACCTTAATCGTCAAGATCTAGATTTATTTTACATTAAATTTGGAGAGTTGTTGTGTATTCCTGTCAGATCGTCAGCCTACATCCTTGTTATCTACCTGAGCAGACATTGACGGATGCTTCATTTTTTTCAATCTGTCATTTTTTCCCCTCCTACTTTGTCCAAATGGCAATCCGTTAGTGGTGTGTTGGTCTTGAACGAACGGATCAAAAGAACTAGTTCTTTTTGGTGAACGAAATGAATGCGGTCACCCCCCCTAAATGACCCGTTCAGTCCGTTCAGTTCTTTTGATTGGCTGAAGAGTCAGTTCACCGTTCCTTAGGGCGGGACTATCTGCGTGCTTGCCTGTCTTATCCTATCGTCGCGCCTCGCTCTGTGTGTGGGTGGGGCTTAGAGAAGCAGCAGCAGTACTACTGAGCTGACTGAAAGACCGGGATGACCGAGTTGAGTGAAAGAACGAGTTGAACGAAAGACCGAGTTGAACGAAAGACCCGGACCGATGAACGAGTTGACTGAAAGACCGAGTTGACTGAAAGACCCGGATCGATGACCGACTCGCTCTCTGTCTTTTCAGTCAGCTCAGTCTGATCGAGAAATTGACCGACTCTCAGACTGACTGAGTACAAGCATTCACTCTCTGCGAGGTGCTGTCAGCCTGTCACTAGCCGACTGACTTGTGAACGCAACGGGATGTACTGAATAAAATAAATTATAAGGCAGTCTCTTGCGGGGGGTATCTGCACTCACGAGTCCGCCGCACGAGCCGACAGCCGAGCCCGAGTGAGCGGGACAGTCACACACACACAAAGGCACACAACTGCTGCTGTAGCCAGAGGCAGAGAGATAACTATTAAACAATAAAACAAAATAAGAATGAATAGAATTGTGTGTGTGTGTGTGTGTGTGTATATATATATATGTATATATATATAGAGTCCGTTAGTTCAACATCTGAGCGAACGTGAACAACATGAACGAACGGACTGACTAACGACCGATTGACCGAAATGACCGAAATGAACGGGTCTTTTTACTGAACGACCAGGATTGATCCGGTTCACTGAAATGAATGGTTTTGCCCACCACTACAATCCGTTCTAATCGCGACAATACCCAATCTCGTCTTTTATATAAGCTAGGGTAGAAAATCATCCAATCACACAAAATAGATGAAAGTAGGTGGTGAGAATTTGTTGCAGCACAGTTTTTGCCAATAAATCGTTTGTTTTTAAAAGGGTAGACAAACATTTAAGTAACTGGTCTTCTGGCAAATAGAGCCAACTATTTTGTCTCTGAGCATTCATGAACAGGATTTTTGCCACAATTTAGGCTCACGAAAGATTAGTATGTCAACGAAAACCTATCATCACCGTCTCTATTGACAAAATTCACTCTGGTGCTTTAAATGTTAGCGGTTCCTTACCTTCTACTGAGAGAAGCAGGAGAAGAAATTCAGTCAGTGTTGCTGTTAAACTCATAGCTGCTCTTCAGTTAACTGGCTCTCATGTCTCTGCTCAACTTGCAAGGGGCACAGTCATTAGAGATACCATGGGTCTCTTAGTGACGATGTGGTGCATGTCTTAAAAGCAGGATGTGGTTTTTGTACCTGGGTTTTTCAGAGAATTTTAATAACCAGTATTGAATTATTTAGAGTATTTCCTTGGTGAAGGGTTACAGATGGTACCCTATTTATCTTATCTATCTTATTTATACTTCCTTCCCATCGCTTCCTCAGTTGGTCATTCTGCAAACCATGCATTTCCTGTTTGCTTAAGAGCCCAGCTCTTGACTATCCTCTGTTTGTCAGTAGTCAAGGATATTGCTTCTGTTTGCTTGAGTGATCTGGTGTCCAAGCAACAACAAATGAAGCGCTGCTCTTTAATTCTAAACAAAATGTAACAGCGTAATTCAACAACATAGATGGATTTATGCTGTGTTCCAGTTGTACTCTGAAGTCAGGATTTCTGAGCTCCAAGTTGGAAATTCATCTGGAACACCCCGCTGAAGTCGGATTTCGGACTCGGAAGGTCAGACAATCCTCACCAACCCCGACTTGACAACAACGTCATGAAATTGAGTAAGTGGTATATGTCATACTGCCCAACGTCTAACTTTGAACATGGTGCTATGGTGTCTGTAAGAGTAAAATACTGTGTTATGCATTATTTACAACTGGTATAGCTAACAACAACTAACAACAACTAACAACTGCTAACGGCAGCTGACAACTGCTAACAACAGCTAGCAACGGCTAACAGTAGGTGTCCATCTGTTAGCATAAATACTGCATTGTGTATAAGTTGTAACTGTGCTCTTACAGATCTCCTACGATTACAGAGGTGGTCTAATAGTTTGGAACTTCACCTTATTTTCTGAGGTAAACTTCCTTAATGCTGACAAGTGTGGGGAGTTTTTAATCCCACTTACATACTTAAAAATGTACCCACGCTTCGGCACTTTGGATAAAACTGACCAGCAGAGTCTAAGTGAAGCAGCCAGGTGGGTCCTGAAGGTGATCTCAGCACTTTCCCCTCAGTCGCTATAGCTTTCATATTAGCATGCACAGCCACAGAATAATCTCTGTGGCATAACTTGATGAAGCTCTACCTGCTGTGACGCCATGCAGCTAATATTCTCTGTCAGTTTCTAAATCCCTGCAAGTAGCTCGCTCCCTCCCACACTGGACTATCTTTGGTTTCAATTTCTGCACTAATCTCTCTCAGCATTATGCAAGCCCCGCTGCTCACTTACCCGAGACTATCCCGGGGAGCTTTGCCTTAACGAGATAATCATACTGACGATCAGATTGACATTTCAGACACTCTCTCCACTCCTTCCATCAATAGGGAAAGCTACTTCTATCACTGGATCCATATTAGACTTGGCAGATTATCATTTAAAGCAATTCACACTTCATTGTCAAGTACTCACCGATGATTTTTGCATTCAAGGTTGCAGCCTTTCTCGGAGTAAGATTAACACACATATAATTTGAATTCAATTAATTTCCCCTCTTTTAATCCCACTGAGGGCCAGAGATACAGCGATCCTCCATTACTCTCCCTCATTGTCAGTTCCTTGGTGGTGACGGCTTAGGAAGCAAATCCAATTATTTGACTTAATATTCACTTTAGTGTGCCGTGGATCCACTCTGGGTGTCCTTGCTCGTGGTCAGCTGGTGGAAAAAATCAATTCTTTTGTTTTTGGACTCAGGCTGTACATGATAGAGAAGTGTCAGAGAGAGGGGAGTGTTTCTCTGTAATCAAGCACCTGAAGGTGTCACAGTCTGACTGAGTTTTTATTTATATCTTACTCCTGTGGAGTATACAGGCGAGAAATTTCAAGGCAATTTTCCTTTTATTTGAAGAAGTCACAGCAGAGAGCAATTAAAGCTGAGTGGATAAACAGAGAGGGATAATGTTTATACAGTTTTAGAGTCAGGATGCAATTTATTGGAATCTACTCCAAACAGACTGAGCAGAAGGGAAATGTGACCGTTGGCGCTAATAACATAACTCTGAGGTTAAGGCTCATTTGTTACAAGTTACAAAATCCTTCACACCAAGACTTTGAACTTAAAACAGAGACGCAATTTGGCAGATTTGCTTCAGCAGAAAAAAAATGCGAATTTTAAAAAAGGGGAAGACTTCAGAGATTTAATTATTACTGTTCCTAGAAG